TGTAAATCCTCCCTTGAAAGACTTTGCTGGATGTGAATGAGCAGAATTCACAGCAAATTAATAAAATGGGTTTTTGTCCCAATTGTGGCTGAAAGTCGAATCCTACCTATAAGGCTGTTACTGTTCAAATAGAAATTCTAGTAACGGTACCCTTGATTTAATCTACATCTTATTCAACATTAGCTGTGCCAGTTGAGTTACATGCATTTAAATGTGCATTTAAATGTGTTTTCATGTTACAAAAGTACTTTCCTCACCGAGTCAATTGAACCTCAGCAAGTTGGCATAAAAAAATAACTATCAACAAAGCCAAATGTTTTCTCTTACAGTTCTGGTTATTGACCGAGGCACTTGGAAGACATGGGCTATAATTATTACCATGCTGGGAGTCGTGCTGTTTGATTTTGCTGCTGATTTTATTGACGGTCCCATCAAGGCGTATTTATTTGATGTCTGCACTCACCAGGACAAGCAAAAGGGGCTCCATTATCATGCACTCCTGACAGGTAAATCCAAGATAAAAGTTCTTCTTTTTTACTCCTCTGGAAATGCAGAAGTCGTTCAGTGAGTTTTCCTTCCCACCCTTAAGGTCTGGGTTGTGCTGGTCAGCTGATTCGGAGCATCATTGCAATTCTTCTTTAGAAAAGTAATCTTGTGATTACTGGGGCTGGTTGAAGGGAAGAAAACCTCTTCCAAAATGAACACTGAACATCAATCTCACACCTCTGGAATAGCCTAGGAGTAGTGGATTTTGGGGGGTCTTTTAAAAATTATCTGGAGGGTCTATTCTCTCTTGGCTTGCTATAAGAGTTAGAAAAGATTCAACACTGAAGGTTTTTAATTTGCTTTTAAAATCAAAGTTATAGTCCTAGGGCAGGCGTGTCAAAATCGATTTCATTGAGGGCTGCATCAGGGTTGTGTTTGACCTTGGGGAGCTGGAATGGGCGTGGCCAGCTCAACATTGCTTGTGTCAGGGGCAATTGTGGTGGCCTGAGCACTCTGCCAGTGAAAATGGGCTCCTGAGCTCAGTTCGGGTGTGACTGCGTCCTGCAACCCTCTTCCAGTGAAAATGGAGCTTGGGAGGGTCACGTGTGGCCCTCACAAGATCTGTTTTTGGCTGCAACAGCCTCCTGCAACCTTCTGCCAGTGAAAACGAAGCTCGGGAGGGTCCCCTCCTGAGCTCTGTTTTTGCTGACAGAGGCACCGCAGACCGATCCTTCATTGTTTCCAGGTCCGTTCCGCGGACCAGATCTAAGCATCTTTGAGTTTGACACCCCTGTGCTAGGGTAAATTAACTTCACAGAATCCATTTGGAGTCAAGGAGAAGAGGATTATGCATGTACTTAGTCTCACTCCTATAAATCAGGTTCATCTGCTGGGGACCCAATAGACAAAAAACATTGTTTTCTTGGGGAAAAAAACCCAAATCTACAATCTATAATCTACAAATGTTACAGCTTTTTTAATACATTTCCCTTTCATTTTATTACGAGATGGAAAAGAACACGCCTCTATATGATTTGAAAAGGCTCCAAATTCATCACCCTTGAAGCAAAGAACAAATTAGGTAGTAGTGTCGCCCCAGCGTCAAGCCAACAATCAAGAATTATTTCCGTATCACATTATGTGAATTTGACCTTTTGAGCAAATTAGAAACTGTGTGTGTGTGCATTGCTCGCTCCCACAAAAACACAATGATAGCAAATATTATATTTACGGCTTTGAATGAAAGAAGCTTGAGTCATATGATGCTAATGATGGTGGTTTCATTCCCCGAATGGCACTTGAATAACTGTAAGCATAGTGTAGTACTTGTTCCCTAAAGCTTCCTGACTATGTAAGAATATATTTCCATTCTTATTTTAGGCAAAGCTATGGAAATGCACTTTTCAGTCCCAGATAAAATGTTGTCACACCTACCTACCACCATTCCAGGTTTCAAACTAACCCACTGCAGCTCAGCTTAGTTTTGATTGATGTTACATTTGCAGCAGAAGCTGGGTTTTGCTCATCAATGTGTTGCAGAGTTTGGTTTCTTGAAACTACCAGCTGTTCTTATCCCACTGATGATGCCACTTTTACTTCCTTGGTACAACAGATGACATTAGTCTTAGGTCAAGACCCAACAGTCAAGATTTCTGCCCATTGGCAATTACCAATCATGGCAGGGAGTCAAACCAGGTTGGGGGCTAAGCCTTTGAAATGTAGTGTTTAGAATGCTGGACTAGGACTGCAGAGATACAGGTTCAAACATCCACCCTCAGCCATGGTGATAGTTGCTGTCTATTAGTCTGACTTTATAGATCATAAAAGCATGAGAGTCAGTATAGTGGTTAAGAATGGAGCATCCTAGTCCTGCCTTAGGGACAAAGCCCAGCCAGGACTTGGTGGCTTTGCGGAAGGCCGGGAGGGTAATAAGGGTCCGGATCTCCACGGGGAGGTCATTCCAGAGGGCTGGAGCTGCAATAGAGAAGGCTCTCCCCCGGGGGGGTCGCCA